TGTCCTAGGACGCACCATGGAGGCTTACGTTGACGACATGATCGTCAAAAGCAAGAAGGCAGACACCCACGCCGACGACCTCCGGGAAATCTTTGCCATCATGCAAAAATTCAATCTCCGGCTAAATCCGAAGAAGTGCACCTTCGGCGTCCAAGGAGGGAAGTTCTTAGGCTACATGGTCAGCCAAAGGGGTATCGAGGCCAACCCCGAGAAAATTCAGGCCATCATCAATATGGAGCCTCCGCGCAACGTCAAAGAAGTTCAACGGTTGACGGGTCGCCTGGCGGCCCTCAACCGATTCCTCTCTAAGTCAGCCGAGAGGGCCCTCCCATTCTTCCAAATCATAAGGAAGACAGCTGGCTTCCAATGGACATCTGAGTGTCAGGAGGCCTTCGATGAACTTAAGAAGTACCTCTCTTCTCCCCCGGTGCTCTCCAAACCGAAGGTGGGGGAGACCTTATACTTGTATCTCGGTGTTAGCCCTGCGGCAATCAGCTCAGTACTAATCCGAGAGGAAGACGGCATCCAACACGCCATCTTCTACGTCAGCAAAACCCTCCGGGAGGCCGAACTCAGGTATTCTCCCGTCGAGAAGACGGTGCTAGCCATCGTTTGGACCGTCAAGAAGCTTGGCCACTACTTTCAGGCTCATCCGGTCCAAGTGCTCACTCATCAACCCCTCGGCGCCCTCATGAGGAGTCCCACTAGCTCCTCTCGGATGGTGAAATGGGCCATCTTCCTCAGCCAATACAACATGGATATCCGTCCGAGGCCTGCCATCAAGGGCCAAGCCCTGGCAGACTTTGTAACGGAATGCACCGCAAGATCGACGGTGGATGAGGAGCCTTCGGCACCCCTCGATGAGTGGTGGACCCTCTATACCGATGGCTCCTCGGCTACCAAAGCATGCGGAGGGGGAGTAGTTCTCATCACACCCGAGGGCTTCCGCGCCTATTATGCCATCCGCTTCTCCTTCAAAGTCTCCAACAACGAAGCCGAGTACGAAGCCCTCCTCTGTGGCCTTCGGCTGGCAGCAAATCTGAAGGCTAAGATGATCCACGTCAAGTGTGACTCCAAACTTGTTGTGGGTCAAATTTCCGGGGAGTACGAAGCCAAAGAAGGGAGGATGAAACAATACAAAGAAGCGGCTAAAGAGTTGCTCAAGGTGTTTGAGGCGCATTCTCTCACCCAAATACCGAGGGCTCAAAACTCCGAGGCCGACATTCTATCCAAGCTCTCGGATGAATCCCCCGAGCACCTCTCGAAGATTGCAAGAATTGAGGAGCTCAGCCTCTCAAGTATCCACGCAAGCCCCGTCATGAGCATTAACCTAAGGCCAGAAGATTGGATCTCCGACATCGTCGCCTTCATCACCACAGGGCAACTACCCCAAGACGAAGCCCGCGCAAAACTAACAAAGCTGAGGGCTCCCAGCTACACCCTCGACAATGGGAGGCTCTACAAAAGATCTTACAACGGCACCCTCCTTCGGTGCCTTCATCAGGACGAGGCCGAAGTCGCCATGGAAGAAGTGCACAGTGGCACTTGCTCAGCTCACCAGGGACCCTTCTCCATGTCCCGAAGGCTCATAGTTCAGGGCTACTTCTGGCCCACGATGGCTAGAGATTGTGCTGATCTAGCCCGAAGATGCACCGCTTGCCAACACTTTCAGAAGGCCCCCGGCAGGCCAGCGGTCAACTATGCCCCCATCAGCACCGCTATACCCTTCTCCAGATGGGGTATTGACCTAGTCGGCCCTCTGCCGAGGGGTACCTCCAACAATAGGTATATCATTGTGGCCATTGACTACTTCACCAAATGGGTAGAGGCCGAACCCCTCGCTAGCATCACGGAGGCCCGGTGCCGTCACTTCGTCCTCAAGAACATTCTCACAAGATTTGGCGTCCCCCAACAAATCATCTCCGACAACGGGACTCAATTCGAAGCGGCCCCCTTCTGTGCCCTCCTTGAGGCTTGGGGCATCAAGCACACATTCTCTTCCGTTGCCTACCCTCAGGGCAACGGACAAGTAGAAAATGCCAACCGCATCCTCCTCGAAGGGTTGAAGAAGAAGCTGGAAGCCGAAGGGGGAGGCTGGGTAGAAGAGCTCCACAACATCTTATGGGCCTACCGCACCACCCCTCGGCGTGCAACAGGTGAAACCCCCTTCTCCCTATGCTATGGCTTTGAGGCTAAGGCTCCCACAGAAGTAACTCTTCCCACCCGAAGGGTTGAGCAATATGAGCCCGAGGCAAACGAAGCCAACATGGCCATCGACCTCCATCTCATCTCAGAACGCCGAGAGCAAGCTTTTCTCAGGGCCGAAAACTATAGGAGACAAGTCAAAGGATACATCGACGCCAAGGTCCGCTCCCGGGAATTCCAGGTGGGAGACTACGTTCTCCGACGAAGGGAGGCCAGTCTACCCACCGAAGGAGGAAAGATGGCACCCAAGTTTGAAGGCCCCTACATCATCTCAGCCATCATCAAACCGGGGACATACAAGTTAAAACGTCCTAATGGGACAGAGATTCCTAGACATTGGAATGTGCACCACCTAGTGAAGTTTTACCAATGAGTGGCCAAGCCCTCACCCTCAACAAGTGTAAACATCAATGGCCCAAGGCCCCATCTGTTTTTGAAGAATAATCAAAAGGCCAAGCCTTCACCACCTACATATTATACAAGAGGCCCAAGGCCCCCTCATCTCTTCACCATAAAAGGCCCAAGGCCACTCCCTCTTATGAGGGGGAACAACAATTTAGGTACCACGTACCAAGTGTATGGGCCACCCCCATCACTCTTTGAAAACACCAAGTGTTTTCAAAGACTTTTACATATTCTCCCAAAAAAAAAAAAAAAAAAAAAAAAAAAAAAAAAAAACGGGGGGTGCAACACCCCTCGGCTCCGGCTGGTACCAAGTGCCCCCGGCTATTTGTGTTCCACACACAAATAAAACCCTTCCCAGGAACGCTTTCCGCGCCATCCCCCAAGGGGAGGCAGGCAACGGACCATGTCCCGGGCCCCGGATTCGACTTCCACAAACGAAACGCTCCCCGCGCTATCCCCCAAGGGGAAGCAGGCAACAGACCATGTCTCGGGCTGAGGGGACGACTTTCAAAACCGAGGCGCTTTCCGTGCTATCCCCCAAGGGGAAGCAGGCAACAGACGATGTCTCGGGCCGAGGAAACGACCCTCAAACCCTTCGGGATATCGGAAGGTCATTCCCGAAGGGGGAGCCAACGGTTTATTCCGTTGCCTCCCATATAGGCCAAGCCTTTCCTAGAAACCAAGTTTCTAGACGCCTCCCCTACACCATCTAAAAAAAAAAAAAAAAAAAAAGAAAAAAAAAGAGAGATGTGTGGGGGGGAAGGAACTCCCGGATGCTATTCTCCCGGAGGCTCAACACTTCGGATATACATTCCCGAAGGTTCCTGCAAAGGCACAAGAAAATCTCGCAACAGCAAGCCATCTGGCTGCATAGCCGAAGGCTCCACTGCATGAAACCTTGGAGTACAAGAGTTCCACCGAGGGCCCAAGAAGAAGGCTCACTAAGCAAAACTTCACCTAGATTTGGCTAAGGCCGAAACTCGGCGGGATCAAAGTCAACTATGCGACATGCCGGAGGCTCCACAAAGTTCTAAGGCAGGCTAAACCTACACCTACAAACCGGAGAATTCATGTCGAAGGCAGAATGCCACCCGACTCATTCAACGAGGAAAAAATTTCTAAGTCCACGTATCGGCATCCTTCGGAAATTACTCATCAAACCGAGGACCACTCACAAGGCCTATTGTAGACAAGATCTCAAGATTTCACCAAGTCCATGGTTTTGAACCCCTCGGCAACAGTACACACCAGGGGCTCAAGCGATTTTCATATTCGAAGGACCGCTACGACAACTATTAAAAGTCTGCGGAAGAATGACTAAGTCCACGATTGGGAATCCTTCGGCAGACAACCGTAGGCCCCACTACTGCCCGCGGGTCTACAGCCGAAGGAGACCTCAAACTATTTGACGGGGCCCTAAAGCTACACTACAGTCGGAGGCTCACCACTACCGAGGGCCTAGTCACCAAGGACATGATCTAAGTTCTTACTCAGAAAATTTTCTAAGTCCACAGCTTCAAGCCCCCCGGCTATTCTACTCTACGTCCAAAGGGTTCTGATCAGGTTCTACTGAGAAAGTTTTCTCAGTCCGTAGCTTTCAGCCTCCGGCTATCCCACTCTACAGCCGAGGGGTCAGGCAAGGCTTTCACTTAGAAAAGTTTCTAAGTCCGCAACAATGATCCCCATGATTTCGGATCCCCCCTACAGCTTACACACCGGAGGTTCAAGCAAGCCCCCGGCGAATCCCAGCGCAAAAATGAGGGCTCAGGATTGGGTTTTCACTCAGAAAATCTATATTAAAACCGGGGGCTATATTGATCAGGATTGGATGGGAAAATTTTCGATGCCCATAACAACGACGACCCCCCGGTGATTCTACTCTACATCCGAAGGGTTCTGATAAAGTTTTGCTTGGAAAACGTTTTAAGTCTACAAACAACGACCCCCCGGTGATACTGCACTATAACCGGGGCTAGCAAGGAGTTACACTTAGAAAAATTTTCTAAGTCCGCAAACTTATGGCCCTCGGGAAACCAGGCAAAAGAAAGGAAAACATACATTCACTCGTACACAAACACAAAAGAAGCGGAGGCATACACTCAAATCTTAAACAAGGAGGGCATACACATATGAAGCCCGGAGGCGATCATTCATTCATCCACAAAAATTTTTGAAGTACAAGATAGGTGTTCATTCACATACACGGCCAAAGCCGGAGCCTACTTATCTATTACAAATTTTACTTAAAGGAATTTCAAACTTGGTCGTTTTCGGCTCCGTCCTCCTTCAGCTTCGAGGCGGCGTCCTCCTCGGCTTCCTCTTCATCGTCATCGGCTTCCTTCATTAGTTCGGAATCCTCCAAATCTGGCCTCTCTACGCCCGGAGGGAGGGGAACCCTTGTGTCAGGCTGAAGGGGGGGCAGACCATAGGTGGCTGGGTTGAAATCCTTGGGGTCGACCCCGAAATGCCGGGCGAGCCTCCGGTAGACGAGCCACTGGGTAAAAAACTCACCCCCGTCGTAATACTCCTTGCCCTTCTGGGCCAACCACATCGCCCCGGGGCCTCCCACCCAGTCATCAACACTTCCCTCGATCACCGAAGCTAGCCACTGCTTGTGGTCCTCGGATCTCCATCCCTCGGAAAGAAAGGCGGCGATTGCATCCCTCTCAGCTTGAGCCACCGCCTCCTTCTTGGTCTTTTCAAACTCCTCGGCAGCAGCGACGGCGGCTTTCTCGGCCTCGGCCTTGCCTTCAGCCTTCCCTTCGGCTCTCGCAACCGTCTTGGAGTCTTGAAGGATCTTATTGAAAGCCTCCTGCTCCAACCGGAAGGTTTCTTGGGCCTCCAAGAGCTGCCTCCGGGAATCAGCCAGAGCCTCGTCAGCTCGCCTTTTCTGGGCCTGTGATTCCTCCAACCTCCTCAGAAGTTCGCCAAGTCCGAGGGAAGCCTACGGGAGAAAACATCGGGCGACAAATGTTAAGATGGCCAACCCGAAAAAGCGCTAAGTCCAGACAGAATGTGCTAAAAAAGGGAAGTGGGAAATCTTACAGTGACCGAAGCTTGGAGGACCTTGCTGCCGAGGGCATCGTCCTTCAGCCTGGAGAGCACCGATTTATCCGTCGGGGGGGTGGCGCCGGTCAAGAACTCCCTCGGGTTTAGGGTGCCATGCATAATGGCGGTCCCTTTTGTGATGGAAAACTGCACGTGATCTTGAGGCCACGTCAACTCGGCTCCCCGACCCGGGGAGGGATTATCAGGAGCAGGCACCGCCGCCGGAGTGCCCGAAGAGGAGTGCCCCTCGGAAATTACCACGGGGACATCCTTAGCACCGGCAGCCCCCTTGGCTTTCTTGCCTCCGGGAACGACGCCTTTGCCCGGCGCTTTCCTCTTTGCCGCCTCGGTTTTGATGGCACCAGCTTCGGGGGCATCTTTGGAGGGGGGTCCCGGCGATTTGGGCCTGGGCGGCCTCATCCTTGCGGAAGAACTCATCAACGGGCTTATGTGACCCGGCCTCCTTCCTTTTTGGCTCCTTGGCCAACTGCTTCTTCAGCCTGGCGAAATTCTTCGCGTCCATCTCGGGGCCTGCAAAAAAGCATTCCAATATTAAAACAGAACAATGAAGTAAGGAAAGCAAGAAAAATCCTAAGTATACAACTAGAAGCCTTCGGCACCCACCTTCGGCACTCTCATAGACTCTGTCTATCGGGGGGTACTGATCGCCAGACTCGCCCACCAAACGATATCGCCGAAAGCCCAGCTTGAGAAGTTCCTCCGGAAGGGTGGCTTCCTTGATGGTCTTCAGCTTGTCGGACCCCTCCGGTTTCTCTGCCAATTTCTTCCCATTCTTGGCAAGGACGGCGCTTCCAACCCTCGGGTGCCTTTCGAAATTATCTCGGAGGGGAGCAGCGAAAGGGTTGTTCGCCAAGCGGATATAACAGAACTTGTCCTTCCATCCCTTGTGGGATGAAGGAACCTCGGAGAAAAGCCTGAACTCAGGGACCTGCTGCAAATTGGCGAAGCCCCCGGCATTTGAATGTCCCCCCCGGCATAAATTAAAAGAGAGGAAGAATTGATCCAGGGTGGCCTCCACGCCCCTGCTTCGGCAAAGGGCCAAGAACCCCGCGAGGTACGAATGACTGTTGGGAGTCAGTTGGCAGGGGGCGAGCTTGACAAAGCGGAGGTACTTAAGCACGAAGGGGTGGAGTGGAAACCGGAGACCCAACTCCACCGATAAGATATGAACCGCGAAGCAACCTTCAGGCGGACGCAGCAACACATCATTGGGGCCCGGCTCCACTACTTGTGCCGAAGGCCCGACTAGAAGCTGGGTTTTGAGGTACTCGACCTCCCCGGCCTTCGTCTTCACGTCGAGGGCAGCCGTGTTAAGGTAAGAATGACCTTCAGGGATGCCGACGGGCTGCCCAGCATCTGCAGCCGCCTTTTTCTTCTTCGGGGCCGCCCTCAGCTTCTTCTTTCTCTTACCCAGAGCCACGCTGAGGGGTTCCGGTTCCAAGGTCTTGGAACAACTAGCCTCGGCGTCATTACGGACCGGCAACACAGCCACGGTTACCTTCAGCCTTTCCTTTTCCTCCTCCTCCTCCGCAACCTGAAGGGCGAGGGCAAGCTCTTCGTCTTCCGCCACCTGCTCAAAGTCTTCCGCCTCCAACTCGGTCCGAAGGGTGTCTTGGACTTCCTCGGCGATGGCAGCGTCATTGTTGACCGATGATCGTTCACTTGAGGACTCGGCCTCAGAATAGCTCTCCGATTGAACCGGGGCCTCCACGGAAATATCTTGGGAGTCGCTGGCCGAAGACATCTTCTCGATACAGGGAAAAGAAGGAATATAAGAGAACTAGCTGGAGGCTCCTAAGTATTCCCTAACACTAGATCTAAGGCCAGTGAAGCGAAATACGCTATGTGTATGGGAAAGGAGGAAGAACTGACCTCAAAAATCGCGTTTGATCGAAGGCTGAAGTTTCTCTCTCTAGAAAAAATGGCAGAGCTCCGCTATCTCTCCAAGTTCGCACGAGAACAAATGAGCTCAGGCTCAGGGTATTTATAGGCAGATGGGCCTCGAGAACTGGGCCTCAACTCGAAAGCCCATCATTACAGGCCGCCGATTCGACCAATGAATGCCCGCCGATCCCTCCAGCAAATCAGGACACGCCACGTGGATCCCTCTCCCAACGGCCATATTACAACGGCTATATTTCGACAACACTGGGGTGCCCTCGAATGGCAGCCTCCGGCTATCACTCACCACACCCTTCTGCCAGCAAATTTCATCGAATGCCTACAAGCTTGCGGCAGCGTAAGCCCCAGACTTATCAATATCACCACCCCTCGGGGGCTCATCAACTCATCATAACTCCTTCAGCCCGAACTAACCCTCGGCCCAAAGGAGTGGGGGACTGGGATACACCCCTCGGGGAATCATACACAACAAGAATTTCTTCATGCAACAATTTACAATTGACGCATGCGGCCTCCGGGCAAACATCACAGTACAACCCCTCGGGTACATACTTCAACATACCCTTCGGCGGTGGCAGAATACCGCAAGTTCTCCCCGAAGTCACTTTGCGGAAATGAAGCAGCCCCATTACAACACACGCAGGCAATACACCTATGCTTTCCCCAGAAAGCCCTCGACATATGAGGGACTGAGGGGAGCCCCCAGCGAACATGCGAAGATTATGGATACCTTCCCTCAGAAAACCCTCGACATGTGAGGGACTGGGGGAAGCCTTCGGCAATCAGCAGAAGACAAGTTCCCCAGCAAAAGCACCCAGCGAAAATGGAGAAGCCTCCAGAAGAAGCAACACATCTACTCCTTTCCCCTCAAGTACCTTTCGGCAAAAGGAGTGAGGGACTCCTGATGGAGTATATGGCCCAGGAACCCCCGGCCCATAGACTCCTACTTCTTCTACACAAGTCCATTGAGCTCAGGAAACAACTCAGGCCCAAATGCAACGGCCCAAAGCCTCAAAGTAGCCCAAAATACATAATGCGGTGCCTCCGGCCTCCCAGGCCGAAGGCTCCAAAACTCACAAGAATAGCCTTCTCTGGCATAAGAAGCTACTGGGGGAAAACGGGCGAGAACATTAGCCTTCGGCACTATTGAGCCTTCGGCACCAGGGGAAGCCTTCGGCCACACGAGGAGCCTTCGGCCACACGAGGAGCCTTCGGCTACACAAGGAGCCCTCGGCTACACAAGGTGCCTTCGGCTGAACAAGCTCAATCATCGAAGATTCCTTTTAGAGACAGCCAACCACCGCATTTAATGCCACGTCGCATCCACCAACCGCATTCAATGCGGTTGACGTACCACTGCCGGTGCCACCAGGCTGATGTGACCCTTCGGCCGTTGGATTACTGACACGTGTCCTCTCATCGCATTTATTGCTGCTATAAATAGCAGCCCATTTCTCCTTGTAATCGACACAATCTACATCTCAGCTCCACACGCTGAGTTCATTTAATAAAGTCGACTCTCTCTCCTCCTATTGCTCTGACTTCTCTCTAGTTATTTCCGCAATAACCCCCCGGATAAGATACCCCCCGGGTAGACTATCCATCAAGTATTTAATACCATAGTCAAAATAACCCAATAAGGATATTTATAACTCCAGAATATATATAAACATTCACACCAAATTATACATTTAAAAGAATATAATTTGTCCCAAAAGATTTGGTCTCAAAATACTTTCCAAAAATAGGGTTTAACTCAAACCACCACTTTCCAAAAGTAGCATTTACTACCACCACCAAAATAATCCAATTGGGATATTATAAATCCATAATATACTTTCACAATAACTAATTATAATAATCTCAAATCATACTTCAACTCATGCCAAAACAATCACCACAATTTTCTAATTCAAAGGACAATTCCTCAAAAATCACAATTTTTGCCATATTAAACGGATTTGGTAAATTCACAAAAAGTCACACATTCATAAATTCCAGAAAATCATACATCATCATATCTATAATTTAATAACCTAAATATTCATAAAAGTTCACAAAGAAACTAATGCCATTCAGTGCACCGTATCACCAATGAAGATTTTTTGTCTGACGTACGATTCCCTCATTTGAGCGTTCACGATCATTTCTCATTTTTCATGTAAGAAGGTGTTTTTACCTGATCTCTTCCCTATATATATTAAGGTTCAAGTGAGAAAATCATCTTAGGAGAGAAGTGAGAATAAATATAGACCATTAGATCATCTACTAATTCTCCCATGCTAATAATCTGTCGAGGGGGCTATTATGCCATTTCATACACGTATTAATTACCTTCCAAAATTTTAGGCACTACCGTTTGATTCCTTCCTTTTGAGTATATTTGTTTATTTATTATGCCTTTATCATTTTTATGAGTTATAGCCTTGCACTTGTTTCACTTTTAGTCAGGGATTCTTTTTTCATTTTATGAGTTATTTGTTTGTTTACTTTCTCTTAACCGGTTGTTTGCTTTTATGTACTAAGTAGCTTAAACAATTTTTTTTTATTTTTCTTTGTGCTCTTCAATTTTTTTTCAGTCATGAAATTGTAATATCCCAATGAACATTATTTTGTAACGTATTATTTTGTAACGTATTATATCCCAATGCATTTTTTCCCCAAATTTCATAGCTGTTTTTTTCCTACATCGCTTAGTTCTCCGATTTTTTTCCCCAAATTTCATAGCAGTTTTTTTCCTACATCGCTTAGTTCTCCAATTTATAGGGTCGGAGAACTAAGCGATGTAGGAAAAAAACTGCTATGAAATTTGGGGAAAAAATCGGAGAACTAAGTTCATAGAAATGCAAAAAAATATGTCTCAATGCAGCCTATAAATAATGCATAAACTATTCCCAATCTTAGGAAAAATCTGCGGAAGTAACTAACAACCCAAAAATGCACACAACCTAAGAAAAGTAGAAAAGCTGCATACAAATGCAAAAAGAAACTGTAAAATTTGTAGGTATCTTCCACCTTCTTTCTTGGAAGTTGCCAAGAGACATCTCACACCTTCTAGGAAGGAGCTATCCAACAAATGAACATGGGAAGAGATTTCTTGGAGATAGCTAGGAAACTCCATAGCAATGGGAATGGAAGCTTGGATGCAACTTCCTCATGTCTCCCATATACACCTATAAATAGAGAGTGTATTGTTGTTCATTTGTATCAGTTTAGAAAGTGAGAAAAGTGTGTGAAGAGTGAAATACACTTAGAGTAGAAGTGTATTGGTGAGGATTGGTTTTTTGTAATAGTTGAGTGTGAGAGTTTGCTCCTCCTATTGTAATTCTGTTCTTGATATTGAATAGAAGAATTTTCCAATCCCAACAAGTGGTATCAGAGCGA